TAAAGCGTCTTTGTTTCCTTCCTGTTTTTTTTTTTTTTTTTTTTTCCTGGTCGACATCTGCTAATGCTGCTTCGTCCTTAAACCTGACACTGAATCTGTCGTGTGTCTTACAGAACAGCAGGTTCAGTTCCTTGGTGTGACGGACTGGAGCCTCGCGGTAGGTTACAGCTGCACACTGAACAGTGCTTACAAATGCAAATTAACTTCCAAGTTTAGTGAACTTCCACCAAGTAGCTGCTATGCTGAAATGCCCCCACATTTTACACGGCACTTCAGTTCTCATGCCAACAGAAGGAAGGAGTTACTAATACAAACCGAAGCGTCACCAACTTAATCCACAGCTGCACATGACGTTAAGATTTTTACCTGGAAAAAAAAACGCTTTTCTTGTCACAAAACTGGATGACCAAACACCACCGTTAGGACTGTCAGGAACCCGACTCCTTCCACTGACTTGCAGTCCCGGTCTTTTCTTCAACAACAACAACAACAACGAGCTTTTCTGTCTGGTTGCACTTACTGTCAAAGAATAATACAGCATCTGCAGAGGCGCTGTCCGCTCCCTCCTACCGAAGGAGGGGGAGTTACTGGCGCGAAGTAAGCATGGACTTTCACGTGAGGTAGGTGAGCCTGTGGATGAAAAGTCTGCATTATAACCAGAGAGAAAGAAACACAACCAGTAAAAAAAGCAGCAGTACGCCTCAATTACTGCAGCGCTCCTTGAGGCTGGTTAGCTAAAAAGAAAGCATCTATACGCTTGGCGTTATCCAAGCTGTCTTCTCCCATCACCTAATGCTTGTGTCCCATCCAGCTAAGGCACGCTAACGCCTGGGCACTCACCTGCTCGGGCTGCCCACTTATTTCCCAAGAAAGCACCCATCAATCAGCCCAGAGCGCCTGCCATCGAGGGAGGCCCCTGTTCTGCTGCTGTGCCTCGTCTCCCACAGCCCCTGCTTCTCTCATCCTAGACAGCAGCGTGGAAAAGAGGAGGGCATCTGCCCTCAGCAGTCACTATCAGGGATGAGCTTTCCAATTGCAAAAGTGTTGGGACACGAAGCTGCAGACAAGTCTAAGAGCAAGGCTAAACGCGGGTCCCCAGCGTAGGCGGTCCCTGACCTAATGGGGGAGGGAGGCGGAGGAGAAGAGTTTGTGGCTGGATTCCAGGGCCTAACGGCCCTACAACTGACATCTCCGTGCAGATGTTTTGTTTGCATCATCGGCTCTGTATATTGACATACATTTTAGGAGAGTTAAAGAATGCCACTACACAATCCTAAAAACATAAAAGCCTGTATTTGAAAAAATACAGAAAGCAGGAGATGAGCACTCATCATTCCAACAGCAAAAGTGTCACCAGTTATAAACAGAATTAGACAATTATTACTGCTCATATAGAAAAGCTATGATGTTTAGTCCCTACAGATGGGGGCCTGACAGAATGACGTTCAGATTCTGTTCTTTCATCCTTCCTTGCCTGGGACATCTGCAGGATTCATGCAGTCTCGAGCTGTATCAATGGCTCGGGCATTCCCACCGGAACAAGCCAGCACGTACGTACTCTGATGCGTTTGATTCCAGCTCGCGTGACTTGCTGACAGTCGTACAGCTCAATTCTCTCCAAGTTGTGGCAGTTCTCCAGGTGTTCCAGAGTCACGTCAGTGATGAGAAGACAGTTATCAAGCTCCAGTACCTGCAGCCTCTCGTGACCACAGGTACTGTTGCTCAGATGAAGAATCCCGTCATCGGTGATCAATTCACAGTGAGATAAGCTCTGAAACAGAGAGGCAAACAGCTAACGACATCACTCAGCCCTAAGCTACTCTCTCCTCTAAACATCAGAAGTCCCTTCAACCTCCCTCATTCTAGGGGTTAAGCAGTTATGAAGAGCATACAGCTGAAATCCAGAAGAGTAACAAAAGAAACAGCTCTGCTTAACAAAAGGGCTGTACTTTATTTTTAACTTTGCTTCAAAACAAGTAGAGGCCCGAAACAAGCATCGCTGCCAAACTCCTCCGGCCCCTTTGCTCTCTCTGGATGTGGAAATTCTGTTCCGATCGTCACGCACCTCTGCTACCAACGGGTGCAAACAACGCGCGTGCCGTGCCCGGAACAGGAGACAACCTTAAAGGATGATCAAGAACATCAGACACAAAGAAAGAGATGAGGATCTACCGGCAGGAGTTACCGTTTCGCAGCTACCACGTTTTCACGCATACCACCAGGACCAAGCCTGTGCAAGTCTACATAGATAAAGAACAATCAGACTGGACTGATTTGCCAAATAATGATTTCGGGAAACCTGTGAACGCTTAGCACCCCAGGCCGTACATACAAGGAGAAATAAACATCTCGTAGAGCTGCAGGAGCAGGTCTTTTCTGCAACAGTCAGCATAATAAACTAAAAAAATTCTGCTCCTCTTCAGCGTATTTTTTTTACTCCCTTGAATTTCAAGAGCATGGAAAAAGTTGCTGCGTCTCAGGCAGCAGCACCACATAAAAGCAGTTTCCCGGTTCCTTTAGGGAATTCATGACTTTTGGAGAAGCAATGATGATGACAACAACAGGAAACAGACTTTCCTCGGAGGAGGCTTAAAACCCACTCTGCCACCAGTGAAATGAATGCTCTCAAGTCTTGGGCACTAGAAATGCGCAGGATCTATGAACTCTCCTGCTCTCGCCCCGGGCTCTGAGCTAGCTCCTTGCTTTCTGCTCAGCCCCGTGTCTTGCCCGCACTTGTATCTAAGTCTAATGATGACTGGTTCTGAAGTAGCATTTCCTTGCCACAAGTGTTTTTCAGCCAGCAACTGATGAAGAAACACGTGCAGCAATCCAAAAGCTCTTTTTAACTTGGCGCAAGCTAACAGCAGTGCTCAAAAGTACCTCCTGCCAGTCATCTGAATCAAACACATAATCCTTCCCTTCTCTTGGTACAACACATTTATCTTCCTTTATTTCAGCCTGACAAGGAAGCCTGAGGACTACCAACCGTGGCTTACCCTGATTTTACCTCGGCTAGAGTCATGAGCACTTCTTGCCTGCTACCAGGCACACGGGGTCTATCCTGCCCTTTCGAACAACTTGCCCCTCAACTTTTTTTCCTTCTTTGCTGAACAGGATGAACAAGTAACCAGAGAAGAGGCTGGGAGACAGGTCTGCAACTCCCCTCCAGTCCGACCCTGGCAGCTTCCCTTCAGCTCCAGCTCATCCAGTTTTACTCACTCACCGAGCGTCAGCAGCTGGCAGTGACTCCAAGCAACACCACAACTCGTGCAGCAGAAATGAAGCGCTTGCTTGCCCCTAGCAACAGTGTTTTATCTTATAACATGTTTACGTTCTGCAAGCCTCTCAACTCTTTAAATACTCAAGTCCTCTCCTATACCTACTTTCTTTATGTACGTCTTCTGAGCATTTGATTTGGCTCACAGCCTGGAAACAATCAGCAGTTGCAGGGTTAAAGAACATTTATAATAGACCTGCTGTTTCAAGGAAGGACAGGAGGTTATGCGAAGCTGTCGGCTACGGCAGCGGTCTGCTGGCTAATTAAGAGTTTTCCGTCCCGGGAAGTAAGCAGCTTATAAAATCGGCTTTCCTGAGACACTGTATTTGGTACCGAAAGGACAATACAGGATGTACAGCTGAGTTCGTAGAACTTTGTAGAACAAATATGCCAAATGATACATACTTCGTATTAAACCACATGATCCTTCTGACTTCATAAGCCTGTTAGAAAGTGTTAATAATGTGACATTTTACAAAGACAATTGCTTGAAATCTTTAGAACAAAGAGATACAGTCAAATTCTTTTTCTTGTTAATGCATACTAAATGCTGCGTATAAATCAAATATGGCATGATATACTGTGACGGTAAGAAACAGTATAATCAACTTAACTGAAGAATTCAATTATCATCTCATCTCCAGGAATATCATGAGTATTTCACAGTTTCTCTAATAATTTGAGTGTACAATTATTGAACACCGTCACCAGAAATTACTTCTTAAGTCCAGTAAGTAATAAAGCATTTGAGTACTCTGGTACTGCTGAAGATGTAACAGTTGGTTATAACTGGTCTAACAGTGCTTTTGCTTATTTCCACTGTCTACTGAGTCTCCAAGCACCAAGAAACAAATTCAAAGTTGATTTCTGCAACTCCAAAATATTTGTTTAAACTGCAAATATACCTAAACATATGCTAAAGCACAGCTATGCAACAGTTTACAGAACCATCAACAGTACGTGATTTCACATGTGAAGTATGGAGATTAGTTCACATAGGGTATTTGGCACCTGCTAGTCTGTTTTTCTTTCCCTTGAATTCTCAGCCATCACTGTTCACTCGCAAGCTTTGAGTGTGTATCCTTCCTACACACAGGATATACACCATCAAGAAAAAAAAAATCCATTTTTCTTGTTCCCTTAGAAAAGGTGTGTTATTTTACCAATGCCACACTTCCCCGTCTGTGGGCTAACACACAGAGGCCAGCAAACAGGAGCAGGTTGAGAAAAACACTTGAAAGTTATGAGGTTTTACGGTATCTCTGGTGAAACGCTGGCAGAACTGGTAGAAAAGATCTCTTGCAAGTACTGGTTACGGTTGGGATTACAATACAAAACCACACCTGTTGTTGAAGAACAGAAAGTGTCCCATGTAAATGGCTCCATATCTCCTGACAACTCTTGTTTGGCTTAACATTAAGAATTACGGTACAGAAATGAGGTCGGACAATTAATGAGTGCAAAAACAAAAAAACAAACAGCAACAATAAAAAACAGTGAACAAGCTCCTTTTTTAAGAGTCATCTCTCCTCATGTTGCTACCTTAGTAACACTGAGTGAGTAACACTAACCAATCATAAGACAATTTAATTAATGAAGCAGCAAACCTTTAATCCCATCTAAGAGCAAATTATAAAGATACTTGTTCCCTCAGCTACATCTGAAAGAGTATATAACAAATCTACACTTATGGGACAATTGGCTCAAAATACAGGAGCCTCTATCGTAAGGACGGTCTAGTAATTTTGGAGTACCTTGACTGAAGAACAGCCAAATTTGTGTCATCTGAAATTTTTTTTTGATGTTCTGAAAGAGCTAAGCAACCGTTCCCCAAAAACCAGTTCTTTGAAATACCGTAAGCAGGTTACCCCACTGAAGGCATCTCAATCCTCTCCAGTTACGTTCACAAGTCTAGGTCAAAAAACCTTCCATAATTTGCTATGTAAATGTAGTCCCTGGGAAAAACCGCTTGCATGCAAAACTGATTACAGAGTGATTACCTTTATCTTCACTGGGTGGTTTTGTTTATTCAATATCTGACTTAAAACGTCACACTCCCTAAGAAAACCATTAGTGAACACTTAAGAGTATCTGTAAAGGTCTGAGTACTGCAAGTTGCCTATGAAAAGTTTTATTTTAACTAAGTAATCAAATACGAAGGATGTTAACCATAAAATATAAGCCTTCTGGTTATTAGTCACCGATTTGGTAATATTTTTAATCACATAATGCATGTATTAGGAGTAACCTGCTTCTCTTAGAATACTTAGGAAACCCGCATATATTTTGCACAATATCATACTACATCAGGAACTTTTTCTAGGTCCAGAGTAAACAGCCTGGTTTTATATTGAAGGAGTTGTGTATGTGTGTGGTTTTCGAGGTTTGTATTAAATTTCACAAACAAAGGGTTAAACTTACCAATGCCTGTAGCTTAGGACAGTGTATAGAAAGTTGTATCAGTGTGCAGTCAGTTATCTAGAAACAAAAGAAACCAACCAACCATAAGCAACAGCCAGCAGGAGGGCCAACCCTCAAATAGGATCTCTCTTTCTCTACCAGATGAAGGCTCTGTTATTTCTGGAGAACACCCAATCACCTGTTACTCTTCACATATTTCCCTGCATAGAATTTCCCAATAATTACTTTTATTTACTATCATAAACACAGCACTATTCATAAAAAACAAAGCGCATTTAACTGGAAGTGCTAATGTTCTTATTGGCACTGCGGTCTTACACTGGACATTCAATATTCCTTTTCATATTAAATCTCACCAAAACGCATTCTTCCAAGTCCATCTTCTCCAGCTCGTGGCAATTCTAAAATAAACAAAAACCAAACAGATAAACAAAAGACAAAATTAAACAACATACAGACATAAAATCATGCACGGGGCTAGTAATATGGGAAAGCACAGCCTCCAAGAGGAAATTGTGAGCTAAATCCCTTCGAGTATTTGATCACTATCAAAGGACAAAAAATGGTTAAAAAAAAAAAATCCACAAGCAACCCAACACCTCCTCCTCAAACCTCTACATTTTCAGCCTTTCTCTTACGAAGTGAGGTTTCTCTTCCTTGCCCTGTAAGGTTTGGAGCAGTACGTATGTGATCAGGACTCACTCACCCCTGCTTCCCTTCCCGCTCTTGGGGTCAGTTTCAGTTCAAACCTAGGGGATTTCCAGCCTGCGCACCAAAGCTAACTAATCTGCGTAGGGATGGATCCGACTTCTGCGTACACCGACCCACACCAAACTAGTCTGAAACACGCCTAAGCTTGTGAAACACCTCTCTTCATCATCGTACTGCAGAAAGAATTAAATTAAAAATGAAAAACAATTTGCTTTGCTAATGAATGCTGAAAATATTAAAATAGGGTCCACTTTAAGGCTGGGAGAAAGTTGCACTTCACATTTATACAAACCGTTTTCCCAGTATTCTGAGAGATCCCTAGAAGTGCTTTCAACGACTGATCATGACTACTTTCAAGAAAATGATGTCACCTTGTGACTTCACAGCAGACTGCATGGTGCCATGGCTCAGCCCAAACCCTCTTATTTACAGGCATACGAAAAAATGGTTTAACTTGCCACTCCCAGAAGCAGGCTTGAGGTGACTACCGAAAGCCCAAGGCTGCAGGGCTCAGTGGTTAGAAAACCACTCTGTTTAACCACTGTGGCTAGAAAAATATCAGTAATGTAAATGAATATCAGTAATACTAAATATCAGCAGTGTAAACGAATCCTGTTTAGAGAGTAGTATTTGCGTGTTCAGATTTCCTAAACCAGCAAGCATAAAAGTCTAACTTGGAACACTTTATACAATCTATATGTTTACTTTACATACTTACAGCGTGAATCAGGGCGCAAGTGCTTATAGTTTGTAATGTATAATGTAAGCGTTTTTGTAACTTAAAGGTATGCTCAGAATCATCTATTATGCGGTGATTTTTGGGGTGTAAATATCACAAGGGTATATGTCATCTTTATAGGGGATTTTTGTCTAGAATACATAACACAAGTTTAGAATCACCTTAAGCATAATAAATCCAATTGAAACATACTAACAAAAGAGGGGGGGAAAAAGTGAAAAATGTAATGCTAGATGGCAAAATTGATCAAATTGCAGCTCTAAGTATAATCCAGAAAGAAAATCACTTTTTAGTCCCCTCCTCCACTGGGTTCTTCCTACTTTATTTTTCTTCTTCTCGTATTCCTTCCCAGCAGGACTACATCAATTCACAGCTGCTCCACAGCAATGAAAACAAGGTGAGCTCTAACCTTCTGAAATGACCCTTACCCGTGCTAAAAGGGTAAACCCAGCATCCGTAAGATGTGAACATCTTGCAGCTTCCAAAATCCTGGAAAAGTTTTAAATGTTAAAGAAAACATTAACATAAAGAAAAGCAAATGCATTTGAGATACAAATTCATCTTCTGCAACTTAAAGCTCTCAATAGGAAATATATGCCTATTTTTCACAGTAATTTGCAATTAAAAAGCACTAGGCAGACGTTTGATCCAGCTTATCAGAAGATTCTAATAGTCCCAGAACACATTAAGTTCAATCCTCAAATCTTCTCAACATTTAGTGGAAAAAAAATTATACATAATTATAGGCATTTTGACCTCTTGTTTCACTATGACAGCATAATGCTCAAGTTTTCTCATGTGTTATCTGAGGAAAGATAGGGGAGAATAAACCTGGAGTTAAGGAAAATGCAGATGAAGCCTGCATCTAAAACCTGTTATCTAAACACAGGATGTTGGGAAGCCACAAGACTGAGAAACTGCTTCCTAGAAATTCACTCGGAGCCTCTGCATGAAGCGCAGTGAAGCAAATTACCAGAAAGCAAGGAGCTTAAATTCTCCAAGCCTGCAGTAAAAACAATAAACTACACCAACGCAACCTCAAAGAAAATAACACAGTGTTTTGGAAAGATAAACCTAGCACTCTTTTAAGAGGTACTGGGAAGCAGTACCGACAAAAAAAGGTCAACTGCCCCAAACAGCACCACTAGTACACAGAACAGGCCTCCATCCCGTAACTGGTTTTTTTTGTCGTCGTTTTCTTTTCCTTTTTTTTCAATGAACACTTCTTACTTTGCAGGTGGAGTAAGTATCAAAATGAATAAGGGGAAACCACAGCCCTGTGCAACCACAGCAAACGCTACTTCTGTACTGGGGTCGGTGGGGGAGGAGGCAGGGCAAGATGGACAAAAGAACTTCTTGCTGTGGTAACACTTAGAGGCATCTAGACCCTTCCACTGGTTTAGCAGGTTACGAGAAAGCACTCTCTCTATGGGTAGAGTGCAAAGGGAAAAGCCTTGCTGTGTGCACGAGAAACATCCAACCCCACCAGAGAACGAGATGTGGGGCTCCGAATATGGCTTTGCTGGATCAATCTCTCCCAAGCCAAAAGCAAGCGTGCAGTTGAGTTTAGAGGTAAGCAGCCCCACAGGCTACACCCTTGATAACCACTTCCAAGCGCTAGCCTTCAACAAGGTTCACAAGTACGATAGAAAGTCAGAAAACCAGAAGACTAACAGCTCTAGCTTTCCTGAAACAGGGTGTGCAGGCAGTCAGAAAAGTAGAATAGGAAGGATGAGCTATATATACACACACTGCATCAATCAGGTCCCAGTACGAAAGACAGGTTGGAAGGCACTGGTCAGCATGAACATGAGCAAAGTTCTAATTTTTGCTCTGTTTTAGTGATTGTACTTAATTACAGAGGGCTCTTCTTTTTTCCAGATACAGCTGACGTTTACTTCCCACCCAGTGATCTGTGACAAAGCATAGGAGCTGATGAGGCAAAATGACATCCCAGAGCAGATTCCCCACTCATATAAAGCAATGTTCTCTGAGGCAGACCTCACAGTTGCATTCACTGTCTACAGATGACTTTTGGGCACACCTGGAGTGTGTCTGCACACAGCACCTCCCTACTCCTGTTGAACTAGCTGCAGGCGGGAGAGAACGTTGGTAGGGTTAAAGGCAACGTGATCCTAATTTTCACAGCCCCACCTAGACAAAGACATTCATGGTTCATGGATGCTTTTCTCAATAAGCCTCACCAAAACACCTACTAGTATTTTAACACTAAAAAGTGCTAAAAAAGAAAAACAGAGAAGGTATCAAGCACTTAAACGAGCAGATATAAAAAGGGATGAGGAGACAGCTATATGTTGATGTATGGGGAAAAAACATCTGAGTTAGTCATCTCAGGATTTTTTTTCCAAGGAGATGTAATTTGTGAGTGGTAACAGCTGCAGAACACAGCACAGTAGGACATCCAAGACCCTGAAGTGAAGTGAGAGTAGCACAGCACAGAAAATACTCAAAAGCTTCCTAACAGGGCCAGCACATCCAACAGCGGCAGCAGAGTTTTCTTTCATATTCAACACCGAAACATTCAGAAGGTAGGAACAAGTGTGGAATTACATTTTCCTTTAATTTCCAACATAATTTTTATCAAGTACTTCCCATACATGATCCCAAAAGTCTCAATGTAACCAGGTGTTATCATCTGTCTTTCCATCATGCGCTCCTCTGCAGTAATCACTGCAAAGGGTCATTTTTTTCTTTATACTGCTTCTCATTAAAGGAGAAGAACGGCAGACGCCTTCCCCCTCGTGGCACAGACGGGGGCTAACAGTTTACCTACCAAAGTCGAAACAATTCCTGCTACAGTTGTACTGCCCTTGGAAAGAAGTGCACAACTAAGAGCACTTTAGACCTCCTTTTCTTTCCAATCTGAGCTGTGAATTGAGAGAATGAGAGAAATCGTGGAAAAAGACCAGTAATACCAGCACAGCTTTCTAAGGAACACAATTACGTGTGTCAGAAGACTCCTCAGCCCCAAACACGGGCACACGTAAGCTCGTGTAAGTATGAACCGTTACATGACGGGGACCATCACTCTAGAATTGTCTTAAGGACAGGTTTTCTACAGTAACAAAAGCTCTTTTTCACTCAGTCAGCTAAAGGAACACTGTGTGTCAGCATATTGCGCACTGGCATTTAAATGTAGCTTCCTCAAATTTTTATGATCTGCTTTCCTCCATTTATCTGTGATTGAAGTATAACAAGTTGCGACTCCTGCACATTCCTGTCATAAATGGCAATTTAGTGTCATCCAAAAATCTTCTGTTTTGATTCAATTTACATTAAAATTAGACCTTACAAGAAGTATTGTGTGTCCCTACAATCAGAGAGCTGCTGCATGACTGAGCTTCAAATAAGCTGAAGCTGTCCCCCCTTCTGAGAATACCACCATAACATACGTTAGCGCAAATTGCATCAATGTAAAAGTTTATATTATTTTTACCTGACGAGCCCCTATTACTTAAAACATATCCCATAAATATCAGTCCTCAGTGCTTGCAGAGACATTAGCACAGTCCATATCAGAGTTTAAGAATGCCAGGATGTACTGCAGAGCATATTAAAAACACATTTATAATAAAATCTGTAAATATAATACTCATACGATTTGGCTAGTTTTTTGCGAGACAAATGACTGCACAAAACCACATCAGAGTACGAACATCACAAGACACAACACAACTACGGATATTTTTACCTTTTATAAAAATAATGGGCTTTATATCTTCTTTTCTTCTGGCTTGTAATTAGTACCTAAAATATTTAGCTAGAAGCACAGAATTGAACTGCTAGGTTCAACATGTTTTATTTGTCATATATTAATTCTTGTTTTTCCAATATACAGTTGTCTACATTCATATGCTAGCTACAGAGGACCAGCTCTCAAGTTTACATTCAGCTGGTACTTCTAACTTAATGTTTTGATCGCAAAGGTAGCACAACGCAAAGCTAAATCAAGCCTGTGGATATCAGCTGATTATCTTGAGAAGTGAATTTATTAGATCAGGCCAGTAACAACATGACATACTTGCAACATGCTCATGACATACTCACTTCAGCCTTGGACAGTTTAGACCAAGTGCTGTAAGAGAAGCATCTGTAAGGTTGCTACAGCCTGAAACACAGAGCGACTGAAGTCTATGACATCCTCTACAGATTTCTACAATGCCTTCATCTGAAATTTGCTGCAACACAGAAGAAGGTTGAAGTTACTTTGTTATCAAGTAAGCAGCTAAGAACAAAAATCAAGTCTTATTACTGAACTGTTAGTGTCACATTATATAGAACCATGGCAACCTGTGGATTTGCAACCAAAAAATACCATCGTGAAACCATGTTCACTGATAACACTCAAGATAATCAACACACACAATTCCGACTTATCTATGTATTTTTCCACAGATCTTGAGGACTGCTCAAAGGCAGTCTGAAGCACAGAGGGAGACTTGTTTGTTGTTGTCTTCCTCTTTCACTTTGCTTTTACTTTATAATTTTCACATAGTTGTTTTTAATTGCAGTTGTCGTCGTGTGAAATAGCTTGCTTCTTATATGTTTGTGGAGTTCAGGTCTTTCATTCCAGTGACTGTGTAAGTTCAGGAACAGTGCAAAAGAGAGCTTAAAGCTCAACAGCAGGAGAGCTCACTACCTATTTTGCACTGGAGCAGTAGAACCGAAGGGTAAAAATCCTTCACCTCCAGGTAATTTTCAAAGCCAGAGTTACAGGTAAACAATTACATATAATCCGTTCTTTTCAGAAGACAAATGTAAAAGCCAGGTGTGCCCTACCCTATACAGTTGTCTTTAGCTGAAAGATTTATCTCAAAAGAGGGTTTTTCAGTTCTCAAAATTGTTTTGTACTAAATATTCTGAAAAAAGTAACTCTAAATTTGGAATATGAATCAAAAAGTTCTCTCTCAAACAGGAACTATAAGAAATAGCCCCAATGCAGCTGCACACAGAACAGCAAGAGGAACTAGGTTATGGGGTGTGTGTGCAAATATTATTTTGTTTACAGGTCTTCTATTCTGGAAAAAGTATTCTCTCCTCCTCCCACTCCTAGCTCCAAGAATTTAGTTTTTCTGCTGAATGACTAATCGTTCATGGTGAAACAGGTTATTTTATTTCCTGGCCTAACATTATTCTTCCAATGATAACAAAGACCTCTCCTGTACTTTGAGTTGAAAATACACATTCCTTTTATAAGCCACTCATCTAGGTACACTAATACTACTATAGCATATTTCTGAGGCTATTACCACAAACGTTACCTTTCATAGATGAAAACAGGACAAGAAATAGCAGTAGCTCAGCACAAAGGGAGATCACCTTATGCCCCCTCCACCAACCCAGCACTTTTTAATATCAGTAGTTCAAATTTGCAAATTGTTCTGTGAAATAAAAATTATTCCAGACAGAAAACTAGAAGTCTTGTCTTCTTTTTGTGGATCCAGATGGATCTGCATCCTCTGCAGATAAGAAGATATATTCTGGAACTCTCTTGTTCCCTTTGAGAGGTACTCACGACACTATTATTGGGAAAAGGAACTGTTTTGGAGGTAAGGACTATGTAAATTTTATGCTGCTGCTGGAGATGGACAAAACTCTCAAGTTATATATGAAAATCTTCCATTCTGAAATTGCTTGTGATTTCAATGCCTACATCCCTCTCAGGAAAGAAAAGTGCTCAAAAAATGCCTGCAAGTCCCCAGTTCCTACACTCTAAAGGTGGTACCTTTCAGATGTGCAGTTTCCAGAGTTAATATCAGCTCATTCCATAGCTGCTGGAGCTCGCCTGGTATTTTACAAGGTCCATAAAACAGCCACTAGAATTAAAGTGTGGATCATATAAAGCACAAAGAGACTGGCTGTGTAAAAATCAGTGCTAGCCCTTTGATCATAAAGAGCCTGGCTGCTTCTGGAAGCATACTTCTAAGCCATAGCAAGCAGGACATGTCCAGTGAAATAAAGGTTTCAAGCACACATAACTAGGTAGGACACTCAAAAAATTCAAAGGGAAAAATACTTTCACTCCTGAGAGTTTTTTTGTTGGCACTTAATATCTACGTGACAACAAACATACTGGCCAAGGGAAAACTCTAGGGCACTGCTATGCCAATGCCCCTTTTAAGCAGGAGAGATCATAACTGATTATGATCAGACCTCTTGAGAACCTCCCACAAAAATAATGAGAGAAGGCTGGCCTTGATATATCTCATTAGTCTCAGGTAAAACACAACAGAAAAAGAACTTTGGAGGAGGAGGACAGCAAAAGGAAGAGTGAAAGGGGAGGAAATTACGGACTGACTTTATTTATTTAAGTGAGGTTCTGACCAAAAGAAGGAACTTCCTTTCATTTCCATTATCTTTAGGTGCCCAACTTCAGTGGGCACCTAAATTCAGATTGAAAAATCTGAAAATTCTCTTTCACTAAACACCTGGCTCATGGAAGCTCAAGCTTTGTATTCATATTGTTCTTAAATTCTGCAATTTTTTAATGTAACTTTTAATAATCCCTACGCTCCAAAATGTTCAACACTTTAAAGAAACCTATTAGGCCCAAAAATTTTCATCCAATCTTAATAAAAAATGGTCCCATGCCACATTCATTCAGGAATAATGTGTAAAACAGATTTTAAAATTTTAGCCCAAGCAGATTTTATGATACCTTCTGGCAATAAAACTGTAGAAAACTTTTCAAAAGAAAAAAATAATCTAACTTCATTATTCAAATTTGCATGACTGAAACACTGACATTCTAATTTATTTCAATATTTTCTAAGGCTTAGTTACAGACAAAGAATGACTTAGATACATTTCAAATCTAAAAGGAGATCTTTCCCATTCCTAAAAAGTCACATCAGAAACAACAAAAAAGCAAATATAAAATAAAGCAAATCTAATTCTTGCGTACTAAGTAGAATTAAAAATACATGAATCATGCCCAGTCATTTCATTACAAACGAATGCGTTCTTCCATTACTATTGAAAAAGCATGCCCTTCTCCTGATACCTAGATGGTTCTGAATCATCTTCAGTTATGATGTCACTACATTTTACTCTCAATTATGTAGCCCAGAATATGGCTTCTGCTCAATTAGAAACCTTAAAATTATGAATAGACCAAAATGTTTGACCTTAACGGATGGGAGAACAAGAACGACATCTGTAAAACTGCATGGTTTAGTGCATACACAGTTCATGAGATTTGAATGAATGCACTTAATTCGTACTCTAGAGCTTGCTACAGTTAAAAGATGTAACGAGGGGAAAAAAAATAACCTAACACTCCAAATCCACCCTCAGCTGTAGAGACAGCCAGCTCATTTAAGACCTCTATTCCACACAAAATTCTGTGAACTGCAGAGATGTACTAATTGAATCACTTAAGTGTGTAGCAGATCAATTAATTAGCATTCAAAAATGGTTTACGATTCTTAGAGAATGTATCTTTTGAAGCTTCAAATACTTACTGTACAGGATTGCAAATTCAGGATTACAAGTTCATGACAGTGATTTTGAATGTGTTTCAATGCTTCATCTTCTAACTGTATTTAGCAATTAAATCGGACATAGGAAAAGAAACAAGAAATTAAAAGCAAAGCAAAGCAGCCCAAAGAATGTACACATCTTGTAATACTGAACAAAAGACTATAACAAAAATGGTATTTTTTAATTCATGGAGATTTCAAAAACCCAAAATAAAATTTTATTCCTAAAGGATCACCCAAGCAGTTATGTACCTGTGTGCAACCTCTAAGAAACAGAGCTTTTAGTCCACTACACCCTTTCACCAGTGCTTCAATACCATCCTTCGTAATCTGATCACACCAGGAAAGATTCAAATGTTCCAGATTTCTGCAACCCTCACTGGGAGAATTAAAAAAATACATAAAGTTAAATCCAGCCTTCAAATAGTCATAACAGTGGGAAACCCAAATTAAACACACTGTTAGAAATTAATGATAGATAGCCAGTGGACTGTGCCAGGCCTCCACAGAAAAGTCATGAGAAAAGACCACACACAAACATCATAGCCTACACCCAAGAAGTGCTAGATATAGGATATAGTCAGTGCTGATACACAGTATTAAGGTTCATCACTGATCTTTTTAACTTTATTAAATGTTGAACAGCTCTTTAAACGCTTTTCTTTAACACAAACCACTGAGTCTTCTTACCTTAAGCCTTTCAAAGAGCTGTTTGTGATGGCTACGCAAGATGTCAGATCCAGATGTTTCAGCTTGGAACAGAATCTGCTAAGACTGTAACACGTGCTGCAAAACAGCAGACACACTAAAAATACCTTCAGCTACTTCTTTTTCCAAATTTTCCCATCAAACAAAAAACCCCTTTGACTTACCTGTCAGTGATTTTTGTGCACCCATTTAGATTTAAGTGTTCAATGTTTCTACAGTTCTGCGCAAAGGTCCTAAAACAGCAACAAAAAGCTGGAGAATTAATATAATGTCACAAGTTGTAATACAGTCACTAGAGCGCGCTCTGTCCCCTACCTCCTTCCACCTCAGTCAAAAAGCTTAATCTTCACGCCACAGAGTAATTACAAAGTACATCTCAACTACTTCTGTCTCAGTGGTTGCTTTTTCCTTTTGCTATTGCAAGTTTCTGTCTTAGGCAACTCCTGAAACCAAGTGTTGTTCCTCTCTCAAATACCACTTGAGCAAGGTGTTTATTTCTGTCATATATAAGCCAGAACTGACTTGCTTCAAATGCCTTAACTAAAAACATTGAGGGCATAAACAGGAAGGTTTAACTATCACATCAGTTGAGTATTAAATTGCTGGGGAGAGTTTTTGAACATCTCAATACTGAAGCCTTTGTAGGTCTTGTTAAGGAGCTCGCTCCCACATCAAATGAAAAGGAACGTACCTTCTGCAATACCGAAGTGGGACCTAAGCCTATCGGACTACTAATGGAAAGCCCTCTTGGTTGCAAATTAGTTATTTATGATTTTGCAAATTAAAATACATCTGTGTGCACTACTGGGTATGAACTCTAAGGATGCCTGGAGCTATTATACTGCTAAAAGCCTGTATGTATCATTATACTAATTACCCAGAAGAAATACATAAACTTTCTTTTCATCTCTGCAGAGTAATATTTACAGCTGCGTTGCATTTCAGAACACTGTTTTTATGCCCATGTTTCCTCCAACTGCATGGATTTTATTGGCAGGGGGGGAGGAAACACACAAAAACAGTTTTGTCTGGAGGCTTGCCGTGGTTAACGGATCCGACTACACACTCAGCTGGTAACAACCTCCTGGCTCTCCAGCGTGGATTGAAAACAATGGAAAAAAAAACAGCAAGCAGTTATACTGGTGAGAGTTTCCACTTCAATCCTCAAAACAGCTAGTCCAAAATTCACGTACTGGAGGGAGATTTACAATCGAGACACTCTTCAAATCACTTGGAAAGACGCTACGCTCTGTAATAACTTGCAGAACAGCAAACTTTGCCTCTGAGAGTCAAGCATGGGGCATGTCCTGACAGAGCTGCCACAAACATTCAGTACTTACATAGTCAATACCTACTTCAATAATTGGCTATTTTTAAACAAAAGTTGATGGAGAAGAAGGATAAATAGAGAAATCAGTATCACCCACAAAACTAATGGATCTGGAAACAACTCAACACAAAAAAACTGATATGAAAAGTCGCTTTAAGGACAAGCATCTGAAAATTAATGCCACCTTTCTCATGCTAATGTTTTGAAAGTCTTAAAGCTCATGCATTTATCATTCATTTGGTAATTTCAATATAGCCTGCTTATATTTCAGAGGTAAACCATCTTCTTTCCTGACGTGTCTTAGACATCACCATCTGCACCAGTCAGTTGTTACGGATGCACGTGTGAATACTGGTAACACGCTGGTAGCTGGTCTCAGCTAAGCCTGCCCTATTACTTGCTAGCATGACTAGCTGTATCATCCTTACAATGTGCACATGATACACACTGAACTGCTGTATACTTAGAATAAGTATCTGTTTACTAAATATGTAATTATTTAAAAATATCCCATCCCCAGCCCTCCCCCTCTCCTCACATGCCACTAATACCTGAACCCACTCACTATTTTTGGTCCTATTCACAGCCCTCGCTGCAGTCCCCTAGCCTTAGCGTTCTGAAAAGCAGGGCTGGGAGCCCAAACCAAATGTGAAAATGGAGTTACTAGGGGGAAAACTGCTACCTACTGTCCTGACTCTTTCTTCCTCCACCCTTCTCATCACCTTCCCCGCTACCTCCTCCTCATGGTAGTTGCTACCTCTCTCTGAGCCTGCCTTCCCCCTCTCCTCCACTTCTGCTATTGCCCTCTCTACGGAGGACACGGGGACTGTCAGCGTGAATGCTCTGGCAACTGGGAGGAGCACTGCAGAAAGTTAACTCTGGTTGGGGCTACCTCTTTTTTGACAGCGGTTGCCAGTAAACTGAGAGATGGTAATAATACGCGCTTTCCCCTGAGGAGGCCAGACTGCCTGAAGGTAGCGACACACCAGGGAGCAGTTAGGGAGTTGTCCTAGAGGCAAGGAAAGCTCTGGGGAAATCTTCGGGTCTGAAGCTAGGATGCCCATCTGGGTTACTAAAGCAATCTATTGCCTAACTAGTTGCTGGATGAGTTTACTCTAGAGATAAAAATCAGTGGATTAGACTTAGAAATTTTAGAAAGAGCTAAAGGTCGCGAGACACTAACTTAATGCCTACTGCTTAACAAAAATCTTTGTGCTTGTATTTTCCACCTAAGAATGGCCACACTGTGTCAGACTGAATGCCACCCAGCCCCCTGTAACAGCGGACGAAAGCGTAACGGCAAAAAGCCATACCCCGAGGCTTCCTCCAAATATTCCTTGAGCCCTGAACTACTTGTAGTTTAGGGACCCTTCATCTGGAGGTAGGATCTTTGGGTTTAAATACTCAGAGAAATATCCACAGAGGAATCTGGCTAAACAGTTTGCATATAGAAAAAGTTTATATGGATTCAAACTATCTTCTGGGAACAAATTGCACAATTCAATTTATATACTGTGTAAGAAGGGCCACTGTCTCTATTGAGAGACTCCCGAGATGTTTCTGTTGCCTGCCTGTTCTTATATTAGAGCAAGAAGAGAATCCCAGGCCCTTCCCGATTTTGTAGGCACTCAATCGTATCCATCTTTATTCTTCCTCCCATTGCTAGGGTCACCTCTTGTCCAGACTAGAAGATAAACTACTAACTGACTGAGTACTGATTTTGATGAAATTAATATTGTAGGCTGCCAGAGTATAGGTCTGAAAACATTTTAACTGCTTGAAAACGGAGACATATCAACATAATACTAATGAAAGAAAAAGACACATTTCTGAAAAGCACAGTTCTCTTTTCTTAGTTAATTTTCAGAAAATAACAGTAGCTATACTTAGATCTCAAAACGATGTCTCATTTAGTCATTAAGGTACTTAGTACTTACTTAAGTATCCCATTTTGGTCATTAGTCAAGTACTTAGAAATCCAAACAAATGTAACAATATTTGCTTTTGGTCTGGACATTAGGAAATAAGTGATGTCTCAATCTAGGACTTTACTTACTTTAAAGAGGAGTCTCCAACACCAAGACATCCTCTCAGACTAAGTTGTCTCAGGAACCCACCACACCTTTTCGATATATTTTCCACAACACGACCCTTAAACCAAATAAAAGGAAGATTGTGTTGAGTTTTATTCTGACATAACATTCTCTCCAAATTAAAAATGCCGGGAGTGAAGACCAGCCCCAGCTATACCCCACCAGAACTACCCCTCTTTGAATTTCTTTTGCTGCTTTAAGAAAAAACAGTTACCTGTTGAGAATCTCCACTCACATTGAAGTGCTATTCAATTCAACCTTTACTTTCCTCTTTCTTTTTTTTTTCAGCCTGTCACACATGGCTCAATTTTTTGTCTCAGCAAAACCTGCCATTAAGCCTGCTAAAATGATCTTCAAGTTTTGTCAGATGTGTAGTGAACCTGAAGAACCGCCTCAGAGGTGGAATGGGAGGCATGCCCGTTCCTCAAGGATCACAGTTACCACTACAGCATGCAAGTTTAAATTGCCCACAAAGACGTGCTTAGGCTAGTACGTCACTCTGAACTACAGCCTCCGCTAAGCCCCGTTTTACAGTCCCTGCTATAGGGATGGTTACCTCCGCAACTGAAAGGTGCTGAACACCTTGGTGGGAGCAGCCACTTCAGTTGCCTCCAGAAGATTTGCCGAAGCTCACCTGCCAGTCTTCAGTGTCATATATATTTGGGTGTCTGTGCCTAACACTTGGGAATGCCAAAGAACTTCTCACACTGTAAAGCTTACAGACTTTATGCCTCGTTATTTGTCAAAAGCTGAAGCACAGCTTACAAACAAAACTTCCTACTTGACCCCACATTTGCTACAAAATGCTTTTTATTTACATCCTGAAAGCACGTTTTGCTATACATGAGGAGTAAGCGGAATGGCACAATACTTCTAATATTCAACCATAGCATTATGGAAAAATGTTATTTAAACTACAATAAAAATATACTTTTTTTATTTTATTTTTTTTTGGTAGGAAAAACAAGATAAGATAGCAAAAAGCAGGTGGCCACTGCAAAAACTGACTAGACATCACATTGTGTCTAATCTCAGGGAGGTAAGGTAAAAGAAATCAATACTGATCGTTTAACAAACAGGACTAATACTAACAGCACCTTTTATTTTCTTCTCTCTCTCTCTTTTTTTTTAAAAGAAGGAATACTTATAAAATTACAGGTCAAGGGATTTTTTTGTTGTTGTTTTCCTCTCTATACAGGATGGTAACAATTTTACTGAAACAGTAAAATGTTTCTTACATTTTGTTGTTCACCTCTAATACCAAAGCCCTGGCTACCACTATGTGAAAATATTTTCTTATCAGAGCTTGTTTCTTAGTCCATAAGTAACATTTTTTATCTTATCTCTCAGAAGAATTTACACCAAAACAAACAGACGGAAAATCATTACACAAACAAAATGATGTATTTTTTAAAGCTTTCCAATTAGTCAGAATTATTTCTCAGGAGAGGCCAAATACCTTTACTGTAAGGATAAAGTCTTGAATGAATAACATATAATGCAAGTTCAATCTACATTGCAGAAAAAAGCCAAACCCTAATGCATTATTCAAAGAAAGCAGAAACAAGTAATGAGGTAAGTTTTCCCAAACCCATTTATTTCTTTAAGCATGTAAAAAACCCCAACAAACAGCATATTCAAAAAGACAACTTAAGTGCATTCAAATGTGTTTAGCTGTTTGAAGAATTCAATGTCACTCAAAAAAATAGTTCTTCAGATTACCCCAGCTTACATTTGGTTCCACATACCAAGAAATCCTAAGGCACATTTAACTTCAAGATCTTCACACATCTTTGTGACAGAAAAGAAACATTTTTTTCTTTATAGTTTTTCTTTCTCACTTTGTTCTCTACCACATGAGGTCTTAAATACAGAAAATTCCACAAGACGACCTAATTTTTCATTATTTGATAGTCTCAGATCAAGTACTGCTTGATGTTATGTGAAACATCACCAAACAGTACAACGTCCAACTTAGCAAAAAGTTGCCGAATACAATTAGAAACTTCTACCTGTCCTAAATCTATACGCAAAAACATGTTACTAAAACAGCTGAAGAAAAACCAGAGTTCTTAGACAACAAATGTGAAAGTGTATCTCGTTCAAAACTACTTTATGTAATGATTGCTGGTTTAACATACTCTTATGAATAAATTTAAGGGATTTATATTACAAAAGTACTTAAATATAATATACTGAAGTAACTGAATTCCTCCAAACCACAATAGCTTCTCATAGAGGAATAATATAAAGAGGATCATAACTTAATTTCATTCCTTCTCCTGAATCCCATGCTACAAACATAGTGTCTCAAAGGGCAACACCACTAGGTACAACATAAGACAAACATCAAAACCATAAAAATCCAACACTGTGTTTCTAAATAGCAGAAAGGCTTCAGTCACAGAAAAGGCTAACCAACAGAAGGACCACAGACCTGTGGGGTTTTCTTTATTGTTTCTTAGCAAATGAGAAACACAAGCTTTTTTAAAGGCAAAGGAAAAGATTACATTGAAGCTCCAAGTCTTCTTAGACACATTTAGATAGAGGCAGATGCCAAAATCTTTCTCCTACCTCTGTAAGATCCTCATGTTTAACATCAGTATAGCAGACGAGTTGGCAATAAAATTTTAAAAGAGCAGTGAAAAAAATTTACCCTAGATATTACTGTAAAGCTTTACGAACAGTTTGAACTACAGTTAGCAAAATATACCAAGTGAAACCCGTCTGGATTTTATTCATGCAACTAAGAAGCTAAAACATAAAATCCAGAAGCAAATTCATTTTTGTATTCTAAATTTAATCTGTATCATCAAACAACAAATAATAAACCAGTTCAGATTCAATTAAGGAATTACACTTCCCCATGGATTTTTGTCTTCATTTTCAGATGTCATTTTATTTTGTTATGCATGTCTATGATAGCATTAATGCAGACATGTTTTTCTTATGGAAGACAAGCCTGCCCTAATCCTTTCAATTATATGCTGAAAAGGACTTTAATCCACATGTACCTGCATTTCAGGCAAGGTTCAAACCTTATAAAACAAATATTCATAAAATGGTAATCAGATACGCACCAAATCAAATCTAGGCAGATCAGCAGTAAGAGAAGTTGTTCAGCATTTTGTTTCAATCTCCAAGTCCTATAGTCAAGTATCCAGAGAGCTCTCAGCACTAGATGGCACCCTCACAGAGAGACTCGGGACCACCAACAAAATTATCCTCTAGATTGTGAAAGTGATTTGGAAGATCTCACTCCGTCCAGAGGCAGTATTTATAAACTTACTTTCTGGAAATGAGCAGCTTTGAATTTCTAGAGCCCTTTATGTATATGACAGATGCTAATTATCTGATACATAGCTGGCAACCGAAATTGAAATACTCATCCAGTGTAAAAAAAGTCAAATAGAATTCTTTTTGCATTTGGTCCTTCACAGTATTATTATCTTGAACTTTAGCCTTTAAAGCATGTGAACGCAAACACAGTCTATAGGATACTCAAGACGGGCTATACTCTTAAACATAGGAGTGAAAAAAAACTTAAAGACACTAACCTCTATATCCGTTTGAAAGTTAAAGAGGTCTATTCTTTGCCAATTGCTTCCATCCAGAGCTAAAACATTCCATGCCTACAGAAAACAAATACAGTTATTTATTACCTCCACTGACTGTTCCCTTCATTTGCCTCTCAGCAATTCAAATATAACAAACTCAAATATAACTAAATATACAGTTTCAGGTAGCATTTTTTAAAAAAGAAATATAATTGTAGATATTAGCAGTCATACAATATCAACATAGAATTTGCAGCAATGAATCTCAAATCTTCTAAATGAATTGCACTTCAAAGGCTAACTTATGCCCATAAAACATGCAGGAAAGCAAGAATTTAAATATAAAGTACGTACACAGCAAAATTTATCCCTCCATTTTTAAAAAAGCTTTTGTAAATTTGTCTAGTAAGTTACTTTTGCTAGATCTATATGGAGAGAAGTAACTGCAGATGAGATTCTTTCCAATAAAACCACAGTTCCTCAACCTCACTAGTTACTATTCTGAGAGGAACAGAAACCTTTCAGAAAACTGCTGACTTTCCACTGTTAGGATCAGGCCTTTCCTTTACACATGCTAACGTACGTGTTTGAGAATTTGTCCTTTGCTGTCGAAGCAACGGTTGTTCGAAGTAAAACAAAATAAAAAAGCCCAAGAAACACAAATATACTCAGAAAAACAGAAAAAAAAAGTACTGCATCCAACTGACAGGTAGTTCTGAGAGAAAAACACAACTTATTCAATCACCTTGGTTTTCTTCCACTGTATTCTAGGCTTTAGCTGAAAGTTCTAAGAAAACCCAATATTAGCTCACAAAACTTACTGAAGTTGCAGGCCAGGGTGACAAGGGTGTAGGAATGAAATTGTTATACATTTAATTATACATTAAATCAAACAAACAAAAAGACCCTACCAAAAAAACCCCAAAACCCAATCCTCATTAAAAGAAGGAAGAAAAGCATGAAATAAAAAAATTCATTCATGTTGTGTAAGAATACACTTCATTGTACACACTTGACATAGGAACAGAGTATTTTTCATTTTAATTCAAGAAAAAATAATCAAGACAAGCTAAACAAACAGCTTGCTTAGCATGCTTTCTCTATTATCTTCTGTGTGTCTTTTTCCCCTACTAGTAGTCCATCTACTTAACACCTTTTGTACTTGGCAAGCAAACGATGGATGTACTTCTGAGACACATGGTGCACATTAACTGAACTACATGGAATTTTAAGCAAAAAATGCGTCTGAAAAATAGTGTTATACAGCCACATGCTTTATAAAAAGCAAATGCCATTATGCCAAACTGGGCTTAATCCTTTCTCCAGATACAGAGCATACACTACTGGATATCTTTTCCATAGCCTTTAAACAGAAGTCCAGTACATAGCAACTAATTCCACATCTGAATGCAAAACTGGACCCACTGTTTATTTGTTTTAATAAACAAAGAGGCTGAGAGAACTTTTTTTTTTTTTTTTTTTGGACAGGAAGCAGGTTGTTCTAAAGCCCATAATTTGCAAGTAATTAAGAGAATAGCTTCCCAAAGAAGAACAAAAACCCCAACAGAAATACGTACCTTGGAAACTTGTGCACATCGACACAAAGTAACTATGTCCAAGAAAGAAAATATTCTAGGAAGAAAGAAAAACAATTAAAATGTTTTATTATAAATTCAGACTAATACATGGATTCACAGTGCTGTAGTTCTATGGAAAAATATCAGTTACACAAGAAGCAAGTTAAATGCAATATGAGTGGTTTACCAAATCATTTTGCTTATTGAGACTTAAGGAATAATATCATAGCTATCATCTAAAGACAGCCAACGCCAATATACTAGAACCAGCATGTGCTTCTTCTGAAAATATATTTTCTGTTTCCCTGTCCGTACTACCCAAACACGTATGAATGATCACAGATTTTTTTTTCTTCTTTTTACTTCGGAGAAACTAGTTTATATATTGTGCTACAATTAAAGAAATAACTTACACAAATACAGGTGAAGATTTCAGAGGCTGGTGAAGAGTAAGAAATGGAAAACAATGCATAGATAAATTCCAGTTCAAGAATCTAAGTACTAACACAAAGAACGATGACCCAAATTTCTAAAGGGGTTTCATAGTGACTACCAAGTCTAACGCAGTCAGTATCTTTAATTTACTCTACAAGAAACAACTACAATGGAAAATATAGCATTATTATTCTGATCATGGAACCAATTCCTCAATGCTGCCAACTCTTAATAGTTTTCTGAAAGAAATTTTTCACTGTCAAAATGAATTTTGTTAGAGACCATTTCCAAACAACAATGAAACTGGTTCAAAGGCTGTTCTCAGCAAAAAAAACCATTAGCTTAAGCATAAAATATAGATCCTATTCCAAAATAATTTTCTATTACAGAGAATGAAAGATATGAAATATATGAAAGATGTTACTGTAATACACTTATAAGCTGTTACCTGCTCACCAATGAACTTTTTCAGTCATCAAAACAATGAACAGTAATAATAACAACTTCATCTTATAGTGAGATGTTAACGTTGAGGAGCAAACACAACTGGTAGAAGATGCTGAATTTGATCACGTAAAATTCTGGTTAAAGTTTTCCAAGTGGATATCTGAAGCTAGAGCTCGAAATGAATGCCTACGTCTTAAGGGCTACGATTTTTAGTTGTGGTAAGAGTCGAAAAATGTAATGGAAGTTAATAGAAGTACTTCTTAAACGTAACAGCCTTCTGGACATTTATTCTGATCACTTCAGATATTAGTTTTCCAATATTTCATCAACTCATGAAAACACTTTCTCTTTTTCACCATGCAGTAATACATTTTCTCAAAAAACTATTAGCCTTGCAAACAGAAGGACATTCTCAGAAGCTATGAAACAATTTATAAAACAATTTATAAAATGAAATTTAAAACATTTATTTTGATAGCATCTATTCTGTCATTTGAACATCCATTCTGAGGTTTGCCCACTTTAAAAAACTTAGCAGCGTTTCATACACAAAGCACACACTTAATGTGCTCAACAAGACTGCTGGACTGTTCAGATGAGCACTGAAAGCATTCTCCCTCTTTTAAGACCAGCGTTTACACCAGTGACCCACCATGAACTCTCTTCTGAAGTCACCTTTCCTCCTGCCATGAGGCAAACAACAGAAGATGAGAATGTGGAGATTATGCTAGAGAGCTGCAAAAGCTTCTTGGCTTGTAGAAGCTTCCTCATAGTACCACTGTGTGAGTGGAATCACAGTGTTATCTTAGATTTACAGAAGCTGAAGCACAAAAGACAGATTTCTACGTTATTTGTAACTAAGAAAGGAAGGATTGTGACAAACCATTTCATGACACAATACTGTTGCTAAATGAAGAATGTGACATGCTTTAGAAGTTGACAGGGACAAGCGGTTAGGTCGCTTAAAAAAACACCATCAAAGATATTTGCAAATACTGATTTTAATAGAAATCTATAGAAGTGTGATTGACTTTAGGCATCAGTAAATTTCCATCCTATTGTCACAATCCAGGTTGGAAATTACTAAAGTTCTCAAACATTCCAGTGATGCTGGTAGAGATCCTCCTGAGTCACAACCCAGATAAGATATGCCCCAAGGCTGTTGGGGGTGGCTGATTCCTCCTGGCACAGACGTAAAATATGTCCCAAGGCTGTCAGGGGGCAACTGGCTCCCTGGCACAGACAGTGCTGCTCCCACCTCAGCCAGGTAAGAGTTTTGATACAGTCAAGGGACACTTAACCGCCAAACTCGTTACATAAAGGCCAAGTTTGGACGGGAGTTACTGAGACTGTAAAACAGTTCAGGAAGGGGGGTGGAATGCACCACCACAATCCGCCCCATGACTAAAGTCAATCCATCTCTCTCACAGAGTGGCGGTGTGGTCGCCTCTTGCCTCTGTGCCTATAAACAGACTCATATTCTATTCCGATTATAATTTTGAGGGCATTTTTGGTTGGTTTCCTTGATTACTAGGATTTAGTTAAGTGTAGCTAAGCAATTTTATATGTACGAGGAGGTTTTTGTAATAATGTTATTTGTCTAGCTATTCCCCACAACCTAGCATATAGGAAAACGTTCAATAACAAACATAGTATAACAAGAGTTAATCACAGTAGGGTGTAGCATCTTGTTCAGTATCCCGGTCACTGTTAGGGACCATCCGAAGAAGGTATCCAACCAGTGATGCTCTCCATCTTTCTTCACTTTCTTTCCAAGACACAGTGTATCATCTTCTCTGTATCATAATGGACGGTGATCAGGGTTCTTTGTCCATTGTCCTGAATTTGTTTCAGCAACTGACTCAGGTCCTCCTGTTGCAACAGTTCTTTTACCAACATCAGATTCATTCCGATGGGGGCAGGCAATAAATCTTGATATGACATGTATTTGGATTGCAGCAATTGATGGGTTGTGACAGGAGCTGAATAGTTGAAGTCACACCCTATGGTTTTGGCAAACACAGGTATTTGTGTGATTATATATATCTACAGTGGTGTTGTCTACAGATAGAGATTTTTAGGACGTATCTCAAAATGACAAATATTTTGTTCAGTGTCAAGACAAATGTCTTGGGCCTTAATAGTATTACTTTCACAAATAAATGCCTGTTGTTCCTGCACAACACACGCATCAACATCAATAGTTTGCCATTTGTTCCGATTTTGTTGGGCCCATACTCAATGTTCTAATGGACAGAGTACAGTTCCATGGTGATTTAACCCCAGCGCAATGATTGGGTATATGGTGTATACGGAAGCATTGCGTATTGTCAAAACAAAAGCTGTGGTTTTACTGGTGGTGGGATCGTAGGTGAAATTAACTAGTTGCCACTGTGACTGGAATTCCCTTTCAAATTTAGTTGCATTATTCCAAATTACTTTTTGAATTTCAGCGGGTAAGGTGCCTTCTTCACCTTCTCTTATAATTGTTGCCACAGTAAATTGTACCCACAGTTGAGCTTGAATACAGCTAAGAGCGAGAGAGACATTAATTTCGGTTGCACTTAGTACATTCACAATTAATTGATGGTCTTTCTCATTGATTCTTTCCCATTGGGTTAATATATCAGATAGGAGCCAGTGATTAGTTCCCAATGCCAACAGAGAAGATCGTAATGTATAATTTGTATAAATTTGTCTAATTTGTATAAACTACTTGTTGCTGAGCTTGTTCTGTTCGCTAAAACTTCAGCGTCTATGCTGTTCAGTACTCCTAATCCTGTTCCTAAGACACCAGTCACATCTCTCCTTGATAGTTTTGGAGAGGTGAGGCTTTGTCCATGCAGCCCTGCTAGTCATCCTGTATCCAGGAATGGTGAGCAGGTAGGTTTAATTGCAGAGATATTAACCTGCATTGACAGTTCTACTTGTTTGAGAGACCACGATGGGTTAAATAACACTCACTGTTGGCCTATATTTTTGATCACATGTGGTCCAATTTCATAAATTTGTGGGGACAGAGTTTTCTTATCCTTTACAATTGGGGCACATGTTGTACTAGGCTCAATAATGTCTATTTTGAATTTAAAGAAAAGTCCCACACTATGGTGAGCCCAGAGGCAGACTACACAAACAGGTTGTACTAAGGTAAAATTGTACCAACAGTCCAATTTTTTAGAGGTGCAAAGTTTTTTATCTTTTGCTATTGGATTTGATGTAATGCTGTACACAGAAATCTGAGATGCCTTCTCATGGGTAGGCCCATTGATCATCTGGCATCCTATTTTAATTTTTTTCCCCTGCCATTCCCCAAAGTTGGGGAACTTTATCACCAGCTTCATCTTCATCCCAGCTTCATTCATTTTCCAAATATACCTCAGTTCCATGCACAACCACGGCGGAAAGATGTAAATCTCCCTTACTAGAGTGTATTCCTATACTGCCGGTATACTTAACACGAGCTTGAGACCATGGCCGCTCTAGGGTTCCTTGAACACAGGTTGAGAGGAGCAGCATGGTTAGGGTTTGGAATAGTATCATGAACACAGCCTTTCTGTTTGCAATCCAGCGGGGTGCTGTAAGAGAAAAATAGAGATTTGTTTCGGCAGGGAGAGCCTGAACAGGTTACCACATTAGAAAGAAGGAAAAATCCATCATGCACTAATTCTGTGTTTCACACCACCGCTGTCAGTAGCCTCCCAGGCAAGTGGGCCATGAGGTTTAATTAGAGTCATGGGTACAATGCCAACTTGTGGTAACTTTACCATGACAGGTTGTTCTGGCTGCACTGTTACCGGCTGGTTTTTTTTCACTGGGGAGGGGGTGAGGAAAGCAAGTCACATGAGGTGGAGGTAGAACATCAAGTCCATCTTTTGAAAAGAATGCTCAGCTCACAGGGCTCCCGGTGGGCCCATATCGATTGTCCAGTTGATGAAGTACTTTGGAGAGTCGAGTATCCCAAAGAGTCTCATGGGGCTTAAGGCTCTGTTTTAATAAGCCATTAGCTCTTTGTTCCATCCCATTTGATTGAGGATAGTAGAGGCTGTGAAATACCCACTGTATTTCCTCCTGTTTTGCCCATTCTTGTACTACTTTGATGGAAAAATGTGAGCCATTGTCATTTTGGATGAAATCGGGAGTTGGTAAGCTTGAAAACCAAGAGGATAATCCTCT